CGACGTTTTTACAGTGATTATTTGCGTACTTATTTTCAATGTTTAATAAACGCATTTTATTGAGAAGATAAGATACGTTTAAATTTATACGCTTATTCAACTTTGAAAATGTAACGTTTAAAAAGCGGTTTGTTTTTGAAAAAACGTTTTTTTTTTGAGAGGCTAAATTACGTTACAATTTCAACGCTTATTTAACGTTTCAATTTACCGCGATTTAGTATACAAAAACAGACATTGATTCAACGTTGAAAGCAGGTTGTTTTTGTGACTGTAACGCTTTTTCTACGCTGCGACTGGTTTTCAACGTTGATTCAACGCTTACATGTTTGCTGGGATATGTTTATTATTAGTCATATTATTATGAAAAATGGTGTCACTCCTTTGATGAGACTTCTGTATGAGTGACACCATCCATACAAATCATTCACTTATTATAATAAGAAATAACATATCATTTTATTATTATAGTAATTATTATTATTTATAATTTTTTTTTTTTTTTGTTATTATTATTATTATTATTGTGATAAGTTATTACTATTGCTTATTATTTTATAATTATTGTTATTATTATTTACCTTATTATTGTAAGAATGATTTTAAAATGGAAAATAAATAGCTTGTTGTTGTTGTTGTTGTTCGTTTTTTTTTTTCTTTTGTTAATTTGTTTGATTTGTTTTTTTATTTTTTTTTTTAGTTTTTTCTTTTCTTTTTTTCTTTCTTTTCTTCATTCTCTATATTTTTATTTCATTTATTTTTCTTATTTTATTATTTTTTCTTTATCTTTATATTTTTTTTTAATTTATTTATAAAATTCGTTATAAAAAAGCGTCCGCCATTCCGGAAGTCTCTGCATTGGTATCAATAAACAATATCATGCATAAATAAGCAGTTGTGTTCAAAGCACTTTACAGAAGTTGATAGGGGTAAAAAAAAATTTGAAATATTATATATATATATATATATATATATATATATATATATATATATATATATATATATATATATATATATATATATATATATATATATAAAACAGTTTTTCGTTTTGGTAGATCTTTATCGAACATATTATGCCAAAACAAATCAAAGCTACCACCAAACAGTTACCCAGGTGTTTACCAACTTGAATGTACATGTGGCGCTTTTTATGTGGGTGAAACCAGAAAAACACGAATAGCTGAACATCAAAAAAACGTGACTAAAGCAAACTGGAAAGCGTCTGGAATTGTTGAACATGCACAATATTGCAAAGGTATAATTAATTGGAATAACCCAAAAACACTTTCAGTCATCCCAAATAATTATACGAGAAAAATCAGGGAGGCAGTTGAAATAGAGGCGGACCTGTACTCGGCGCACCCTAAACTCGGTGAAGTTCGTAAACGAACTCGGTAAAGTTCGAAACAATAATTTTGCCGTTTAATGATTGGCTAATATTAACGAATGAAAATTTAGCACAAAAGTTTTAATTCGCGCTTCAAAAGCCAATTTTATTACCGCCTCTAAAATAAGTAAGATGACACCTTTAGCTGAGTTCATTGAAAGTATCAAAGAAGAAAAATTGGTTGATTTTTTGCAACAAAAAAGGCTAATGCCACTTCAAAAACTTTGTCTATGCGGTCAAAGGATGCTTGTGCAAAATTATGAACGTTGTCAAGTATGAATACTTAACATTTTTATTATTTTTTACACAAAACAGATTATCCCTTGTATCTTCAAAATACTTTATTTAAGGAAAAACATATTTGGCGATGTAACACTTGCAAAAAGACGAAGTCAATTCGAGCAGGATTTTTTGAAAGCTCTACATCTTTAAGTGTAAGTCTGATACTTCAATTAATGTTTTTATGGATCCTGGAGGTCCCTGTAACCGCTGCATCTGAGGTAGTAGGTGTAAACGAAAAAACCTCAATTCAGTGGTATCAATACTTCCGGGACATTTGTTCATTTAAAACTATGGATGTTGCTGCTGCTAATCAATTAGGTGGTCCAGGGCTCATTGTAGAAATAGATGAATCTTTATTTTTTAAACGAAAATATAATGTTGGGCATAACGTTGAAAAACATTGGATTTTTGGGGCATTTGATGTAACTAGTAAGAAAGGATACTTAAGAAGGGTAGAGGATCGAACAGCTCAGACATTAGTGCCAATAATTCAACAATGGGTTGCACCTGGATCAATAATACATTCAGATCAGTGGGCTTCTTATACTAATTTAAATAACTTAGGTTACAATCATTTCACTGTAAACCATACAATAAACTTTGTTGATCCTGACACTGGAGCAACAACAAATCATGTTGAGTCGTTTTGGTGTAGGATGAAACAAAGGTTAAAGTATGTTTTGGGATCACAGGGTGATTTAAAGTGGTCTAGGCTAGATGAAGCTGTATACAGAGAATATTATGATTTTTATAATAAAAATGTTTGGGAAAATTTCTCTTTATTCTTAAAACATATTAATGATAGGTATCCTCTGTAATGTAAAATAAGTATTATAATATAATATTTATATTAAAAGTGTTTCATAATATTTATATTAAACTTGTTTTTTTTTTATGTACAACACAAAATATACGTTGCAAAAACTAAAAGAAGATAAGCCACAAAAAGATATGCAAAGAAGATAAGCTACAAGAAGATAACTGTAGAAGATCGATTAAAAGAATATTAGCCACAAAAAGAAATGTAAAGAAGAGAAGATACGAGAAAATACCTTTAGATGATCGATTAAAAGAAGATAAGCTACAAAAAGAAATCTTAAGAAGAGAAGACACCTTTAGAAGATCTATTTAATCTAATATTTAATGTATATATGTTGATAATTTGTAAAATTTAATTTTTTTTCTAAAATGTTAAATTTTTATTAAAATGCATTTACGCAAGTTTTTGTTTTTTTATTTTCGACGTTACGAATTAACGTAATATTTTAGCGCCTATTCTGTAAAATACCAAAAGCGAACACCGAGAATATTCGTTCCGAGAATTAACGAACTTCACCGAGTTTAGGGTGCGCCGTGTACAGGTCCGCCGAAATAGACAGATTACAATGTTGCTATCTAAAAAATAAAATTCTAAACAGAGATAATAACAACCTAGTGACGACTCACCATTGGAAACCGTTTTTTGTTAAATTTAAGAAAAACTTTTATAATATTACGCAGCAATGACATCATTTTTGTAAATAACGAATTTTTTGTAACGTATTTTAGTTTGAAAATGGCTCCAATTAAATATCTGTCAATTAAATGTCATACTCACCTAACGTCAAATAGCCTGCTGCCGGGGGTTTCAGTACATACATCGACTGACAAATAGCCTGACTCGCAGTGGAGTGCTGCTACATCGACTGAGGGTTTGGTATGGGTCAGCAACCTTTTCATTCATTATTCTTCGTTTTCTCTCATCGTTTTCTAAAAACGCTCACTTAATTTAGGCTAGCAAAAAAAGTGAGCAATTGCGCATATAAATATGCTATAGTAGATATATATATATATATATATATATATATATATATATATATATATATATATATATATATATATATATATATATATATATATATATATATATATATATATATATATATATATATATATATATATATATATATAATATATATATATATATATATATATATATATATTCGTTAAAATAAGCATTTCGTTAAAATAAGCATTTTGTTACAACATTTCAAATACAAATATATTATTATAATAAATTTATATAAATATAATGGTCGTTATTAAAAAATAAAAAAACGCGGGGACTCGTAGAAGACCATACGGTCTTCTCGTCGAGTACTGCTAAGAAATGTTCGTGTTAAAATTTAAAAGATAAAGATAACAAGATTAAAAAATAAAAATAAGTTAACAAAAGTAAGAAACTTAAAATACTCCATAATAAATACAAGATGCGTTATATCTATTATATATGTAAATTATAGTTGTTGATAATACACATATACTTTTTATAAGTTCATGTTTAAATAAATGGTAAAAATAAAGATCACAAAAAATATCAAAAGTATATTGTTAAATCATCGATTGTAAAAATTAGTTCTTTAAGCTTTTGTTTAAAAGAAAAGTAGTTACTTTGATTAATAAAATCCTCAGTAAAATTTTTTAAAACTATTTTATTCCATAAGAATGGTCCGCGATAATCAATACAAAATTTAAAATGTTTTGTTTGAAAAATGGGCTGCTTAATAAAATTATTATTGCGTAAAATGTATTTATTTTTATCTTTTGATTAATACAAATTATGGAAAGAAATCGGGGATGAATTGGTTTTACATTTAAACATAAAACAAAGAATATTAAAAATATTAATCTTATTTATATAAAAAACTTTCATTTCAAATAAAAGGCTTGGCATGAGTATAACGGTCTTTAAAATATATAAGACGTGCTACATGCTTCTGCTGACAATAAAGAGGTTTAAGTTTGCCTTTATTTGCGCTACCCCAAGCAATGTTTGCATAGTTTATGTGGCAATGAATAAATGAGTGATGTAATTGTACTAAAGTTTGTTTATTTAAGACATTTCTCGCTTGGTACAATATTCCTATACTTTTTGAAATTTTTCTTGATAAGTTTTTAATGTAATTTGTAAAGTTTTTAATGATTTTTCTATGTAAGATTTTCATCTAAACAAACGCCTAGAAAATTAGTTACTGCTACTTTTTTAATTTGTATATTGTCAATAACAAGTGGAGGCATGTTAATTGGCAGTTTATGTTTTTTGGTAAGAGGATGGAAAAGAATCCATTTAGTTTTATCAATGTTAAGGGATAGTTTGTTTATCTTAAACCAGTCAGATATTTTGATTAACTTGATGTTCACGTTATGAAATAAAGTAGGAATGCTTTTGTGAGACATAAATAAATTAGTGTCGTCAGCAAACATAATTGTTATTAAATTCGAGGCTTTGTATAGATCATTAATATAAATAAGGAAGAGAAGAGGTCCTAATATGGACCCTTGAGGAACTCCACATGTAATATTTAACAAGTTTAGTGAAAATGATTTATCAGCATAAACAAATTGTTTACGATTAGTTAAATAACTTTTCCACCCTTTTAAAACATTGCCTATTATACCATAATATTCTAATTTTTTAATAAGAATTTTATGATCAATTGTATCAAACGCTTTCGCTAAATCAATAAATATTCCCAATGTAAATTTAGAATTGTTAAATGAGTCTGATATACTTCTTGTAAGCTGAATAATTGCATGTTCTGTTGAATTATTTTTTTTGAATCCATATTGCATGTTATATAATAATTTGTTTGTTAAAAGGTGATTGTATATTCTGTTGTACAAAATTCTTTCTAAAATTTTAGAAAAAACAGAGAGGATGGAAATTGGACGATAGTGTTTTACATTAGTTTTTTCTCCTTCTTTAAATTTTTTTGAATTTTTCCTTAGGCGTTCAAATAATCTTACATAATTTTTATAAATAGTCTTACTCTCAGTTGTTTTTGATTTTAAATATTTAATATAAAGTTTTAGCTTATTTTTTGAAGATTTTAGAATACCTTTAGTAATCCATGGCGATACAATTTTTTTATATTTGTAATTTACTTCTACTTTGGGAAAATTAATGTCATAAATTTCATAAAAATTTGAAAAAAGGATTTGTATATTAAATTAATGTCTTCAGAAAAGTTTATAATGTCCCAATTAATTAACGATAGCTAATATTTAAAAGATTCTAGGTTTTTATTATGAAAAATTCGTTTTTTAAATGATTTTTTTTCTTAACATATAATTTTCGCATAAATATCAATTGAAAAAATATAGGGAAGTGATCAGATATATCACTTTTAATAATGCCTTTTTTAAGCGAATTATTAAAAATATCGTTGGTTATAATGTTATCAATTAAGGAAGTTGTTGTTTGAGTAATTCTAGTTGGTTTGTTTATTAGAGGATTTTTCAAATAGGCCATTATAAAACCCATTAATGTCTTTTTTGACATGATACTCAAAGCAATTTAAATTCAGATCACTTAACATGTAAAGTAATTTCTTTTAATGGTTGCTTTTATTTATAACATCATCTTGTAAAAATGTACTAAAAGTTTTAATTTCGCCTGTAGGTGGGCGATAACAACAGCTAATCACAATAATTTTAGTTTTATTGTTCAATATTTTAAAATTGTTAAAACCTCTTTATTGTTAAAATCTCTATTGTTGGTTTTTTGTCTTTTGTTGTTGTTTTGTCTTTTTATTGTTAAAACCTCAATTGTTAAAACCTTTTTATTGACATCAGAAATACTCATGTCATGCCTAATATAATACTGAAAGTTTTCTTTTACATAAATAATTAAACCACCGCCGCGTTTATTTTTTCCGCCCTAATGAAATCAAATTATAGCCCGATATTTTAAAGTTATTATCTAAACTTGAGTCATTAGAACTACACCAAGTTTCAGTTATGCATATTACACTAAAAAGAGTTTAATTTTCCTCAAAACTATTGCAAAGATTTTCAAATTTTTTTTAAACTTCTTATATTTATATGAACTGCATTAAATTTATTATGCTCAAGAAATTCTTTTATTTCATAACTATAGAAACAGCTGCAGTTGCTTTAAAGCACCTGTTTCGCTAAAAAAAACTTTGATCCGGATCGGACTCTTTTTTGAGTATAAAATCATTGAATTGAAAAATATCAAAATTCTTTGAGTGATTTGAATCCATTTTAGTATTTAAAAACGATAAAAATTTAAGATAAAATAATAACTCTAATATAAAAGAATTTCTTAATTGTCGCGCGTTACAAGTTTATTATACACAACTTTAGCATATTTACCTTGGGCTCTCAGATCTAAATAACTGTTTTCGCAATTCCAAAGTTCCTTCGCTGTAGTCTTCGTTTACGTAAAGCCGATCGTTCCACAATTTTAACTGAACATAGTTATCCAACGCAGTTTTTTTGTCTTTGTAATTTAAAAATTTTACTATTATGGTTCTGTTGTACTTTTTTCTATCGCTATTTTTTTCCCCCGTCCTGTGCGCACGTTCAATTTCAAAATTACATATATATATATATATATATATATATATATATATATATATATATATATATATATATATATATATATATATATATATATATATATATATATATATATATATTTAATATATATATTTAATATATATATATATATATATATATATATATATATATATATATATATATATATATATATATATATATATATATATATATATATATATATATTTAAACAATTAAAAATGTATTCTACAAAAAGAGTGCTCAATGTTCTTAAAAGAACAGAGCAATTACAAATTAGTAGAAAATCACTTAGCAAAATTTTTTCTCATTTAACACTGTGTTTCATCAATAAAGACTCATCAGAAATGAATGATCAAATTAATAAATAATTAAATAATTAAATTAATAAAACTTCAATTTATACCAAAAATTAAATTACAGGAAGTCACATGTCTTAACTACTGCAA